CTGTGGTCTGGATGTGGGAGAAGTCAAAAAAATGTTTCTTATTACTGCCTCTTCCTGCCTGGCTTCTCTCCACCACTCCCAGCTAATAAAGCATTTCCTATTGCTGAGCACACAGCCACGACCGGCCTCCCTTCCTCCCGCTCACCGGGCCCCAGCTCCATCCTGGTTGCTCTCCCTCGCCCATTCCTCCCGCCTCGTCCTTCACCGGGCTCTTTCCCACATGGTTTCCCAGCTTTCAAAGCCAACCCAAGCCCATTGTGGGGACGTGGCCATGAGAGCTCCAACCCTGGGCATCCCCAGGAGAGCAGCTTTGGTGGCGATGGGAATGTTCTAGAGGGATGCCGTGGGAATGACCTCGACATGCTTGGCCATCCCTCTTGCTCCAGCCTCCAGCCCTCGTGGGGATGGAGCATCACAGCCCCTCAAGGGGCTCCCTGGTTATTCCATGTTGGACACAACACTCCGGGATGGGGCACGGGAGGATTTCACCCCCGGGGCACAACGTGGCATGGGGGGGTGCTCCACTGGGGATGCTGAGCCCGGCTGCGGGCACAGAGCCAGGCTGGCTGGGCTGAGGGGCTCCTGCTGGCACGGCCCTGGCTCTTCCCACACGATGCCACGGTGGCCGGCGCTGGGATGCCGCCGGCAGGGCCGTTCCCACGGCGGGAGGTTGGGCACTTCCCGCTCCCCCGGGGCACACGGGACCGCGGGCGGCGGAAGCGCCGCTTCCCCTTTCGCTGCTTTCGGGGCTGTTCTTTGGGCCACCCCAATCTCAGCTGCTTCACCCTTCTCCCATCCTCTCCTGCCCCTCCAGTGCCTTCCCAAGCCCCATCCCTGCCTTTCTCCCAGCTGCTCCACCAGCACCGTGACTGGACCCGGCATTGCAGCCTCTTTCCTAACCAGGTGCCAGGGCCTGCTTTGCCACCCCGTTCCCATTGCATCACCAGCCCCAGTTGCATCAGGAACCCACCCGGAGCCTCCTTGTGCCGGAGCTTTGAGTCTCGCCGGCCGCCTCGCCCCGCTATCGGCCGTGATCTAGGAAGTTTAAACAAACAAAAGCACAAAACCAGGATAAAACACGAAGGACCTTCACGGGTGACCTTGCCCGTGTGCTGGGCCCGGAGCTTTGGGAGCCGGCGCGGGGGAAACGGGCAGTTTCCATCAGATAGGAGCCGCCCCGGAGGAAGCCGGTGCCTGCAGACATCTTATCTCCAGTGACCATCTTTGCTCTGCTCTGCAGGTCTCTGTGATCCAGCTGGAGATCAGCCCCTCCCAGAGTTATTCCTGGATGGCTCCTGCATCCCCCCCCCATGGGAGCAGGCACAGGGTGGGCATCAGCACCCCAAATTTATGGCTGCGGGCAGGGGTTGCCCCAGGCAGCCAAGCACACCAGCTCTCTGGCAAGGGCTGGTGCCAGCCAGTTTGATCCCCACGACTCCGTCTTCCAAACAGGACATCTTCATTTTTAAATCATAAACACTTGCTTAAAAACTTCTAAAACTTCCTAAGTCCTAATCCTGGGTGGCTTGAAGGGGAGGGATGAGTGGGGAGCCCCAGGCCAG